GAGGCAATTCAATTTCTAGTTGTCTGATGCTTGCATGCAAAATTGCACACAGCAGCTCCTTTGTGGTGCTCTACCTTATTGTGAAGTTTGGCATTTCTAACTAGGTTCGATTCCTTGTTGTCAATAGTGGCATTGTTTCATTCCTAGTTGTCAACATTGGTCCTCTGCCGATCTTTTGACAACGTAGCTCAGCTGTTGCTGGTGCATTGGTGGGCCCCCTGCTGCGCAGCATGTGTGGTGGACATGCAGGCCAGCATGGATTGATGGGTCAATCCTGCACAACACAGACATTGTGTCAGGGAACATACATTCACGTACAGCACCCCAAACCAGGCGAGCATTCTAAATCCTGCGGTCCTTTTACAAAGCTTGAAAGTCACTGAGGACAAGAGCAAGACTGCGACAGCTCCTGCAACTACGGAATTCGAATTCTTTTGGTGCCAATGCTAGCCTGGCAGCTTGGCAGGGCGGCAATCAGCCACTGGCCCCCAGGGGCAGGTTTGCTGATGTCTTGTTGCCTTCACGCAACTGCGAGCGCTGGCAGAAGTAACGCTGCCCCCCCCCCCTTTTCTTTCATTGTTTCGATTACCGTCGTTCCGCTTACCCTGATCGCTCGCCCGCGATTCCCAATGGCTCAGGAGCGGTGCGGTGCGTCTCTCTGTGTGCACCACCGTCCTGTCTCACAGCGGTGGGCACTGCCGCGTGAGGCCACCCGCGTATCGCAAGCACCGCCCTGCCGCCAAAAATGTTTGAAAAAATTCTCCGCGGGAACAGCCCAACCGGGATCTGACGGGCACAACGATCCAACGCAGGCTCCGCTAGAGAGGAGAGCCCATCTCTCTGTGTGCACCACCGTCCTGTCCCACAGCGGAAGGCACTGTCGCGTGAGGCCACCCACGCATCGCAAGCGCCCGCCCCTGCCGCCAACAATGTTTGAAAAAATTCCCCGCGGGAACAGCCCATCCGGTATCCCAAGGGCACAAAGATCCAACGCAGGCTCCGCTAGAGAGGAGAGCCCATCTCTCTGTGTGCACCACCGTCCTGTCCCACAGCGGAGGGCACTGTCGCGTGAGGCCACCCACGCATCGCAAGCGCCCGCCCCTGCCGCCAAAAATGTTTGGAAAAATTCTCCGCGGGAACAGCCCATCCGGTATCCCAAGGGCACAACGATCCAACGCAGGCTCCGCTAGAGAGGAGAGCCCATATCTCTGTGTGCACCACCGTCCTGTCCCACAGCGGAGGGCGCTGTCGCGTGAGGCCACTCACGCACCGCAAGCGCCGCCCCTGCCGCCAAAGCGTTTGAAAAAATTATCTGCGGGAACAGCCCATCTGGGATCCCACGGGAACAGAGATCCAACGCAGGCTCCGCTACAGACGATAGCCCATCTCTCTGTTTGCACCATCGTCCTGTCCCACAGTGGTGGGTGCTGTCGCGTGAGGCCACCCACGCATCGCAAGCGCCTGCCCCTGCCGCCAAAAATGTTTGAACAAATTCTCCGCGGGAACACGCCATTTGGGATCCCACGGTAACAAGGATCCAATGCAGGCTCCGCTAGAGACGACAGCCCGATCCAACACGGTCAGAACGTCGGCTGTCGGCGGATCATCACCAGCGAGGCGCAGAGAGACCTTCGACCTCACCGCGGACAACCGCGGATCGTTCGCGACTCGAGGAAAGGGAATCACCTGCCTGCATTGTGCTTCGCCAAGCGAAGCCTGAGCCTCCATCGCCGGCCGCCGTTGCTGCCTTCCGACCACGCGCACCGGCCGGGCCGTCCCTTGTGGGTGGCTCGGTGGCCGGCGCGAAGCCCGTGGCAGCCCAGCTGTCACAATCGCCGGTGCCGCAACTTAGGAACTACGACCACTGATCCACATCAGCTCAGTCACCAAAATAAGAATCGAATCTCAGCAAATAAGCAGAGGGACTAATATATTCTCGGGAGGGGGTGCTGACGTGGACCGCCGATCCGCCGGACCGCCGAGCCGCCGAGGCCTAAGGGAGGGGGACATGGGGCCCTGACGTGGACCGCCGATCCGCCGAACCGCCGGACCGCCGCGGCCTAAGAGGAGGGGGGGTGCCTAGGGGGGAGGGGCGGGGTGCTGACGTGGACCGCCGATCCGCCGAACCGCCGGACCGCCGAGGGCCGGGGGAGGAGGGGGAGGGGGTGCTGACGTGGACCGCCGAGCCGCCGAGCTGTCGGGGCCTTCGGGGGGGGGAACGGGGGATGACGTGGACCGACGAACCGCCGAACCGCCGCAGGGCCGCCGGGGCCGCCGCGGCGCCAGGTTCTGGACCGCTCTCGCCCACACCGCCTGTAGCCATGGCCAAGCGCTGCACTGTCGACCAGCAACTGACGATGTTTGCCAACGTTTTCCCAAAAACTTCTTTTCGACTTCCTTCTGTGTTGTTCCAACTCTTATTCGTTTATTAAACCTTACGCCCTAAAGGGTGACACTGCGTCCATTTGGTGTTCTTCACGTCAAATGCGAAGGTCTTCAATTGTTTTCGACTCGGACAGTGAAGAGAAGCATGTGCAAGGAAGACCAGAACGCTGATTAGAAGAAGAACTGGTAGTTTTGGCAAATAAGTTCAGTGTTCGGGTTGCCAATTAATGGGGCTAACCAAAAAGTTAGTACATTAGTGATATCACTCAGCTGGCCACCCGTGAGGTCTAGATATGGTGCAGAGGGGATGTCGACAGCCTCAGCACCTTCGCCACACTGATCATCACCATACAGGTTGGCGCCCAATGAGGTGGTAAACCCCAAAGTCATCGGCCAGGCGTGCTACATAATTTTCTAGTATTGCGAGCTCAAGGCCCTCAGAGCGCAGGGAGGTGACTTCGATGACAAAGATAGACTATCGCAACTTCATCATACGCCCAAAGAGTCCACCAGGATACTGTAAAACTGCTGAGCACAACGCCAATACGTGGCAGCGCATCACATGGAGACATGAGTGAGACACGCCTGGAAAACGCCTTGGAATGCTGAGGAGCACCCAGGTTGCCATTGGACGCGTGCGCTTGCTTAGTGGCTGCCCGCCTGGCGGTCTGCCGTGGACCGCGGCGAGACCGAGCTAGAGGGGCGCGTGGAGGCGCCATGTGGTTATTTGATGGAAATATGCCCTGTGGGGCATTACGCGTTCGCTGACCGCGGGAAGTGTGGCTGTTTGATGGGAGTGTGGCCCTTGGGGCATTACGTGGTGGCTGAGTGCGGGCAGTGGGGCGTACCGGGCTGAGTTGCGGTGAAACGACGGGTGTGGCGGAAAGATTACGGGTACCGAAAGAGCATCTCTTAGCAATGGGGGGGATTTGCCAGGCCTTGGGGGGCTACAAGTACTGGGGGCGTGGCGAAAGGACAAAGGGAACTCTGTATTGTTGCACGCGGGCCAGCAGCTGTAAGAACGGTTGCGCGACGTTCGCGTGTGCCCCTCGCGGCGGTCTGGGCACTCAGCCTGATTGCCTAACGCCCTTGGACGTGTGCGCAACGTTCGCCACGGCCTGAGCGCAATAGCGCTCGACCATTTCGAAGGTCGTGGCCAGTCTGTGCCTTTTCTGAGCCGCTTTCCCTGCCGTTCAAGACCAGTACTGCCAGCGTGAGCGTGTTGCTGGCCAAAAGTGACCAACCTTCGTCATTGCACAGCTTCTTCGAGGGGGAAGAAGCATCTTTCGTGTATTGTATCACTACGCTGTGGACAAGGCTGCCTCGACCCATGTGGCTGACCTGTGCAGAGACCTCGTTGACAATTGGGGAGTGGCTGCGACCGGTTATGGCACTTTGGGTGGCAGTTGTGAGAGGTTCTACCAGCGCGCTTGCACGCTTGACGTTCAATTGGATGTTTGCCGCTCGTCTGAAGCTTCCTTTGCCATCGCTGCTATTTTGGGTCGTTGACATCGTCGTGGCTAGCTGTTCTTCCTAAAGAGCCGATTCGCGCGAGGGGCAAAGCTTGTTCGTTGAGCGCACCCTCAACTGACGTGGTGTTGAGGCCGTCGGCGTGGCTCAGTTGCTCGTTCAGGGGTGATTAGACTGCGCTATCTCCGGGGATGACGGCCAGAATGGACCGCCGTCCTTTACATCAGGATAATTGGAATTACATAATTCCCATGTACAATAACAAGTTAAGGAAAGAGATAGGCTGAAGAATCAAACACCGCAGAAGACATTAGGATGGGCTACCATCCCACAGCAAAGGCGGAACTCAGGGAGCGCTGCACAGACGGTTCACAACCTAACGCACACCTCGGCTCAGATAAGCATTCTTGACAGTGAGCCCCAGGCGACGTGGACAACCGGCCGGCAGGCAACAAATGCAATAAATTAAAGCAAGGCCCGTCAGCACTGAGGCAGACTGTAAAAGGCAGATCCCAAGTTAAGAATCCAAATCTCGTGCCCTTTCCAACGCATGGAAGCCTACCATGAAGAATTCTACCCAGAAAGAAAACTACGATGTGGAACTCCCGCTGATAGACAGCACAAACACATCAGTGAGTTCTTGCGGCTAGGCCGCGACCCATCCCTTCACAGTAGATACCCGAAGACGCCACAGGGCCAATATTCGACGAACATTGGGTCAAGCCAGAAATATGCGAATATCACCACACACTGCCCTTCATCAAAGCCTTGCAGGCGAATGCCGAACTCCAACTTCCTCCCGTTCTCTTCGGCAGCAGCGGATGGTTGACAGGGTGGCACTCGAGTTATCCAAAATGAGCACAGTCCAAGGGCATTGTTTGCCCTGCGAACGTACATTTTATCCAAGGTATCCAGCACCTACGGCTGGGCGGAAAAAGCCACTGGAATCAATGCTAAGAAATTCCCAAACAAATAGAAGCTAAAAAAGAATCCAAAGAATACTGACAGTTGTATGTTCCCCAGAGCTGCACGAATGTCAAGTCCAAAGGTCGAAAAGTCGTTGCAGCCAATCCATCGCTGAATTGGAGCCTCAGAAGCAGCTCTGGTGCCAGATAAGACAATGAAGGGGTCCGCTCCAATGCCTGCTATCTCCCTGCAAGCTTTGATGCCCATCCTGCAACAACTTTCAGAATGCCAGGCGCCACGAACAGAGCTCTTGCAGTGGCGTATGTAGTGCCGTTGTCACGACCATCGGACACTGTCGCCGTCAGCCACATCTGCGCAGGCACATCTATTGTTCGAACTGCATACTTGTGCGAACTGAAGGCAACACTGGCAACTTGCCTTACCAGGATATTCGCACAGGGCAAAGGAACTCGCAGTGGACTGGCAACTTTGGTGTCCACCACCAGTACCTCAATCAAATACAGAGGAGGCAATGCTGGTAGTTGCATTGTGCATTACAGAATGCTTCCGGTCCTGCACTTGACGACCAATGTGTCAACTTCCTGTAAGAAGCAAAGATTAGAGCATGCATTCATATAGTCACAGCTACAAGACCTGTTTCTGGTTTGTTTGGAAACCATTGTTGGTGCATCATCAATCCGTCCAGCGCATTCCCTTTCCAGCTGGATCCCAGTGTGTACCAGCAACAACAAGCAAAAGTACCAGTGGTGGTGCAAATGCCAGAATCGCACATTAGCAGATTCCCCCCGTGGTACGCATCTTGCTACTATTCAGATGAACAGGCATAGAGGCCAACGCACTGAGCTTCACTTCCACAACATTCCTGTACTCAGTGCACAAGCACTGAGCACAGTCTCTTCGGTGCCCCACTTCATCCCTGGGAAACAATTGAATCATCCTTGCCTTTGAGTGCATATGAATAGACTCACTACGCTCCCAGTTCACTGATGCCTGCTATGGATCAAATGTGGTTGATGAGTCACAGTCGATCCACCAACATGCACCAAGCCAAAACAACATGTCCACAGGGTCGGTTGCACTGTCAATACCTTCCTGCCCTCAATCTTCTCAAATTCGGCCGTGCACAGTATCAGCGCGTTCTGTGGCACTATCTGTCAAATGATGGAAACAGCCAATGGTCAGACGTGCGCCTTAAAAGAAAAAGTGCCATCCCATCGACAGCACCTGCTAACAGTGCATAAAATGACCAGCCACACTTTCTTTCCTGTTCTAGGGCTGTCTGCAGTTCTTTGGGATGTACAGCAATGATAGTGGATTGAAAACACTGTGGGAACATCCATCCATGGATGAAATGAACACCCATCGTCGCCTCATCGGTGCAAGGGCTGTGGTTTGTTGGCTGACTGCAAACTGAATCAAAGCGAATTTTCAGTTGCAAATGGTTAGCAAGAGATGGAGGGCAACAGTGCAGGAAGGGATTGCCCAATGCCTGGGCAGCAAAATTATCAATGGCAGCTACCTGAGGTCAAAGTTGCCTGCACCAGCTGAGGACAGTTCACCAGTCTGGTGCAGCGACAAATGGCCCACGAATCACTTCAGGGAGCCAAAAGTCAAGGGAAACAGGGCCCAGAGAAGGAAAGGCCCAAAGGGAATGCAGTATTGACTTGGGGCCCACCCACCTTGCAATAGTCCACTTCCAGTCGGGCAGTGACTGCTGGTGGTGAGATGCCCAGGGCACCCTCCCTCCACAATGCCACCATCAGGCCGCCCAGTGTCTCATCGACGATGGCAGCTGTCAGGCCACCATGCACTGCACTGGGGTACCCGCACACATCCCTGGTAGACAGTGAGAAGTCAGCCCGTGGCCCAATAAGTGTCGCAAAATGAAGCATGGCAAAGTGTTGTGTACAGTACGTGCTGCATTCTGTGTGACATAGCGCACAGTTGACGTGGGTGTACATGCCACACAACAAGCCAACCCTCACATGCAACAATGAACTATTTATGCAGCTATGAAAGATAAGCCAAGCGATGAAGTGAATCATCAGCACTCGACTACGTGCTGGACAAATATCACAGCAACACAAGCCTCTACACCATTCCATGTGCAACCGTTGAGTTTGCCACAACATCTCTCAAACTACTGTTGCCTCGATAGGTGCACAATCCACAGAACAAAGCAATACCATTGCCAGATATGACTTGCTGTCAAACCGATCCTGTAGTTGGCATACCACTGCAAGTCCTCTACATATATGGTGTGAAACATGATGTGCACGTCTGAGCGCACTTCAAAACTGAGTAACAATAAATGGCCAGTCACACTTCAACCACAATCTGCGTTTTTTAGTATTTGGCAAATCTACAATTGCCTCGGACAACATTGTACTCCCACTGCAAGCTCAAAATGTAATGTTTTCATTGTTACCTGGTGGCTCTAGGGTCCACAATCAGAACATGTTTCCATAGATCACAAGTACAGATTAGGTTCTCCTCCACCTGACACAAGGTACATCTTTCCGTTTCGATACCGTTTCCAAACGCACATGCCGCCTGCACTTGCCTTTGGAGGATGGCCTATATACAAGCACTGTCCTAAAAGCACGCATTCCTTGACAATGCCAGCAGGGACTCAATGCTGACAGCATTGTGGGAGACACAACAACATGAACTGCTGATTGGCCAATAACACTGGGCTGTATTGAGGTGATGAAAGTATCAGCCGCATCATTGTGGTGTTAGTGGAGCAGCATTCGACTGCACTTTTATTATGCTGTTACGCAAGCCTTAGGGTGAGGTTGTGCTGCTTGCTTCATACCAACAACCAATTTTTTTGCCTGATCGATATGCTTACTTGCCAAGCTGCACAACAGCGTGAAACTGCTTCTCTTTGCCGTCATAGAAGCAGCGCAGCTCTTTCACCATGTCCACACGTGCCATCGCATCGAACTGCATCGCACAAACAAGAAACCCAATGATGGTTGGAGATATGTCTGTGTACAGTTTTGAACGGGGCATCAGCTTGCTGCCTTGTGGGCACTTGTGGCAGCAGACACAACATCACAGCCAAGCATGTGGAGTGGTGTCCGAAAACCGAGCATCAGCTCCCTGAATGAAGACTTATGTGGATTTGCCAAATATTGTGGTATCTGATGCGACAGACATGTTGTGGCTGCTCCAGAAGCAGCAGAACTGCCAATTGACATGGAAATGCAGTGCATGCTGCAATGTGCAAATCCTCCTTTTCTGCTGGCTTTCAGGCGGGGGCAAGGATGACAACTCCCTCTTGGAGTTGCTGCAACATTTACTTTCAAGGCATACAGCAGCACTTCAGCAGCAACTCTCTTGACTGCATGGCAGTGACCTCCTGAGGCAATGAAGCAGACAAAGTGAAGCATATGTAGCTCTTGCAAGTGGCACCTTCATTTCAACACCTGCCCTCACAGACACATTTTCCTGGTTCGAGAGTGGAGGAGTTTGTTGGGTGACCTCTGCATGCCTTCAACAGGCATTGTGCATTTTCCTTCTTTGCAGTCTATTGGTCACCACACACACAGAACTTCTCTGGCTTTTAAAGCGTGCTGCACTACTTCTCTAAAAGGTACCAGGCCCTGCAACCATCCCTTTCTTCTGTAGGAGATTTTGGCCCTTCTCAGATCATTTTATGACAAGTATTCTTCCATGTCCTGCTGTCATAACTGGATTAATAGATACTTGGATCGCGGGGCTGTGGGTGCTACAAAATGCTGAGAGACTAGATGCGCGAACACAGTATGTTGTTCTGGTTGAAGCCCTGGCGATTCCACAACTAACAGGTGATTTGACGTTATTGCCTATCGTTCAGACCGTATTGAACATCAGTGCAACGTGCCCAAGCTCTACTGACAACCACTGACTGTCCACGACTTTGATTGATTGCCAATGAATGGAACGGCCTCGATAGATGCAGATGCCGAACACTGAGCGTCCACGATTGAGCCGTTGACAACTGCTGCGCACCGGCCCAGAGGCGGTCATACACACCGCGGCCACAGAATTCCTCGAGCGGAGGACATCCAAGACGAGAGATTGCACCGTCTGAAAGGACATCCCACCTCCAAAGGTGCATCGCCCTGCGTGACCCCGCAACAATGCCCCAACGCAACGCAGCAACGCCCCGCGCCGGTTTGCACGCGAACCACCAAAGGCGCCCCACACACAGAGAGGCGCCATCCACACCACCGTCGTCAAAAAACCCCAAAGACCAACCCTTCGATCCTCCAGCGGCTCCCCAAGCTCCCACCCTCGATACCCCTCGTCGACACGTCAAAGGACAAGTGGCACGCCCCACGTCGGCGCCCATGGACACCCGCCTACGCCCCCTTCCCTTCACTCTAACCCCACGCAAGCGGCGTGCTCAATCCCCCCTCACCCCCACCCACCCCCTCAATCTCACCATGTGCCCGTCTCCGCGCAGCAGCTGCCCGATGGGGTGCCTCGTCAGGATCTGGCTGGGCGCCACGGCCTCCCTTACCCCCGGCCGGCCCGCCAGGCTGGCCACCCACCTCTCCACTCCCCCCCCCTCCGATTCCGCCGCCCGCGCATCACCGTAAGCCGCCGCGGCCGCCACGGACGACAGTCCCAGCCCCGTGGCCAGCAGCCCCCAGGTCCGCCACCCGGCGCCGATCCTTGCGGCCGAAGGGTCCGGAGGGGGAGATCGGGCCGAGGGGATGCCCGAGGATGACGTCGTGCGCGGTCGGGGGCGATGGCAAAGGGCGGGCAGGCCGCGAGGGGGGGCCAGGGCCGCGGAGGCCCCGGGCAGGAGCGGCGCCACACGGGAGAAGGCCTGGAGGCTGGGGAGCATCGGTCGATGCCTTGAATCGCCCGGCGAATTCGGCGGCCCTGCCCTCTGCGGGCGACGAGCTTGGAGATGCTGTTTCGCGGGGGGTGGGACGCGCCGGGGAGGCGCGCGGAGGAGGGGGCGGCAGGGAGTGGGGGAACTGCCCGTGGGGGCCGCCCGGGGTGCTTGTTGACTGGCCGTGGGGCGATCCGTCAAAAGGATAGGCGCGGGGATGCCCCGCTGGATCCTCCCAACAGGAGGCGCTGTGGACGAACGACACACGGCAAGCCGACCGACCGCTTACCAAATTCGCCGGTCACATCGCCCGCTCCTGTACTTTCCGGCCACCCACCACGAAGCACACGCCCAGTGGCCCCCCAAAAAAGAAGAAAATCGAAAAACTCGTGAAAAATTCACCAGCCCTCTCAGACCCAGGACCAACCCTGGAGACACCCTCTCGTGGGCGTCTGTATGGGGTCCCCCCATCCCCACTGTCCCGCACGCTCCCAGCCACGAAACACCCACCCAATTCCCCCCGAAAGAAGAATAATCGATTAAAAACAGCTCCCGAGATCCTAAACCTAAGCGCGTTGTGGACTTAGGACCTAACCGGGAGACACCTCCTTGTGGGCGTCCTCTGAGGTCCTTTTGCATCCCCTTCGGCCGCACGCCCCCCGCCACTGCCGGCCACGGCCACGTCGCCGTCGCGCCGCCCATGGGCTCGGACTTCGGGTCCACCTCCGACGACTCTCTGGGCGCCATCCACTCCGCGACCTCCTTGTGAGCGGCCCCGCCAACGCTCGGGCGCCCCCGTGCGCGAAATGAAACGCGAATCTTGAAAAAAAGGGGCGCGCGTGACGGGGTGTTGCTGCTGTGGTGCCCGCAGCGCCGTGCACGACGCGGCGGAGGCGGGGAACGTCGAGAGGCTGAGAGAGCTTCTAGCGGCGCCCGCGGCGAGGGAGGACCCGGATTTCGACCCCCAGGTGAGGTCCTGTTCTGAGCGACCTTCTTTCGGCCAGCTTTCTGGCAACTAAGTCCAAACCCTTGCATTCGTTGAGAAGTGACAGGACGCAGACTTTGCGCCTGAAAAATGGTGTTGAGGAGGTGGCCAGGCACAGGTTGTCCTGAGCACGAACTCCGGCAGCGCCAGGGTCCAAATTGGCCGAATGCAAACGGAGAGCACTTAGCGGGTGCGCAACAGTACGGCCGGCGAGGTTTTTGATGTTGGTCGCTGGAGCGGGCAAGGACGCTGATGCAGGCGTGGTGGCATCTTCTCGAAGGGGCAGATGCAGGGGCTGGGTCGGGCACTGCCGCTGGCCAGACATACGTTCGGGTTCACTCATGTTCGGTTCACTCCCTGGCCTTTGGTCAGCATTTTCTTGCTTTTCGCTGTGCTCGGAGTGCTACGAGCGCTCGATGCGCTCGGAGGTGTGCACGTGATCGATTCCAAAGGGGAGCAGAGACTCAAATTCTTCCTAATTAGGAAGGGGGTTGGTTTCCGAATGGAAGCATGATCTCCCCACTTCGGGCTCGTGAAGTCTTTAATGAGCAAGGACTCCTGCAAGTGGAAGAAGGATGCCCACAACAAGAGTCCAGTTCCTGAAAACATTTTTTGGAGCGTTTCCATCTTCCAAACAGGCTCTGCTGGAACTCGAAATTTTTCCAAGTGGAGGTGGCTACCGTATACTGGTGCATGTCAGCCTTGGGGTAGTGCTTGTGCTCATTCTGCTTGTGACTATAAAAACGAGTCACTGTCCTACTCTGTCGGAGAATGTCTGGGGGTTATGCAACAGGTGGACCTCTATTGGTGAAAAAGGGAGACTGTGAAAATAGGAAATGAGAGGGTCTAACTCATGCAATGTTGTACATATATCTTTAGGAAAATTTTTTGTTGTAACCTCTTCGGCTGCCTGTTCTCAGCAACGAGGGAGCTCATTGCACAGATAGAGACACACATAGGCAACGTCACACTACTGTCACTCGTGTTTCTTACTGGAGATGTGCTTGCTCACCCTTGCACACCGCACATTGTCACCATTGCAGCCCCTTTCTCCAAACCTGTGGCAAGGACGAGCTAGAAAGTGTTGACAGTGGCCTCCATGCTTGCTGTATGTTATTTATAGCCCTGACAGGAGCATGGCACCAAAATGTGGCAAGTGTGACGATGGTGGAATCTTAGCTTGCAGCGATGCATGACTGCAAAGTATGCTGTTTGCATTGTCAACATGGACAGGGTGTGCCCAATGTCAAGGAAAAGGGCGCTGGCTTGTCACATTGACAAATGCAACATGACAAGGGGGTGACACAGTACAAGTCCAGGCACCATCAGGGCAGTAAAGGCTTCCTTTGTCTTACAGGATTACATGCAATGTCCTGCACTGCAACTAAGCATGGCACAATTTTCCTGCTTTTCTCTTCCACATACTCAATGGCACATGGGCATATGACCAGAAAGATGAGAAGAAGTCTGATGCTTCTCTGGGACTAGATGAGGCTGCTCCAGATGGCTGCACTCCCTTGCATGTCAGCATAATCAATGGTGAGTGCATGAGACTTCTGAGTGAGGGAAACGAATGTGCAGTCTGAAGAAGACAAATGAATGGAGCGATCCCCAGGATTGTCTTTGAATCGGGAGGCCTGTTCTTTTCATCAATGCATTGATGGATGTATAGTGCTGTGGTTTTATGTGTTTGCTGCCCGGTCGTGGGGGCGGCATGGCCTGTTTCTTTGCTATGTGGATTCACAGCCTATTATGTGTGTATTTGCAGCCCATTGAATTTGTATTTGCTGTGCATTCATTCCAAATCCATTGTACAGCCCGATATTTGATCATTCATGGCCCGTTTGCAAGAGAGCCTATAGCTTGTGCAATTCACAGCCTATGTTTTACAATGTGTAGTGAACCCTTATCCCTAAACCTTGAAAATGGAAGCACCCCAATACATAATATTGGTTGCAAACATCCCCAGAGGCAAGCTGTCAGGAACAGAGGGTGGAGAATTTAGAGAAATGTCTGCAGATACACATCAGAAAGTGGACTGAAAGACACAACATGGGGCTGCCAGTACTTGAATTTCAAAATAATGATGTGTGCTTTGTGTGGTTAAGTGTGTTGGCAAGTCGCGAACAGATGCACTTGCTTTGTTCCTGCCCATGAAAGAAATGTTGCCTCATTGTTGGGCGCATGGCTGCGGCCTGAAATGCTAAGTTTTACTTGTGTATTGCCCTTCAGCCTGCAGTACTGAGCACTCAGTACAACTGCCCAGGTTGTTGCCATATCACCATGGCAGTGGCAGTGATGTGATGGAAGTGATGTGTATGATGTACGACAATGTGTGAAAGCAAGGTGGCATCTAATTCAACAGACACATTCTGCAAGCCACTGCACGTCATTGTGTCTCTTGTCTATAACAGCTGTCACCAAGTCTGGAATCTGAATGTGATTCACCGTTGGCTGAGTCAGGAGATGGAAAAGACAGTCGCCATCCCAAGGGAATATGCCACTGAAGCCAGCTTGGATGTGTTTTTAGATTGAATGCGTTGGATGTGTTGTGATGTTTGAGTCGAAGTATCAAAACAGATACACCACACTGCTTTTGAGGCAACTCCCCATGTTGCTGAATTGCAGCCTCGGTTGTGGATTTCAATCTGTGTTGCAGCCTTTTGCCATCTTGTGTGTGATTTTTGTGCTGTTCTGAAGGTCATCTTGCGTGCTGTGAGCTCCTGTTGGAAGCTGGTGCTGACCCAGGACTTCCATGTGAAGGCTGCCCGCTGCTGTCACTGGCCGTTTGCCAAGGGGCATTGCCAGAGAAGCGCCAATTTGCAAAAGATGCAGTGGCATTCCTGCTGGGCAAGCAGTGCTCACCCTTTGACAGGTGTGACTCCTTGTGCAGACGTGCACCTGTCCTGATTGCCGATTCCAACTCATTCATCAACAGAAGCAGAAGTCGTTGCCCCCTGACATCAACAGCTTGTTATTTCAGAAATTGTGGGATGGTAGAGCCTTGCCATGTTTGACAAGCACAGTTTGCTGTGCACACTGGTGCGGTATTGCTCCAATTTCAATATCCTGCTGTGAGTGTCTGTCCAGCCATACTCCAAAGCATCAAAAGCTTGACATCGACAATTGCAATACAAAGTGTTGCATGAGCGACGACGTAGCACATAAATTTCCTCAGGTGTTTGTTGCTCCTGCAAGCAGGGACGATTCTGGCCGGACGGCCCTCCACTGGGCTGCCTCCCTTGGCTTGTGTGACATTGCAGACATGCTGCTGCGTGCACCGCCAGAAGCCATGGAGCTGCAGCTGCCACCTCAGGCGGATGGCACAACAGGCGATGACCTTGGAGTCGTCAGGCCTGACCCGCTGGTTGAGCTGCAGGTGAAAAATGTTGGTTTATGCCATTTTGTGCAATGCTTCAGCGATGGTGTGCTGCAACAGTGCTCTGTTCTGGCAGTAGTGCATTTTCATGCAGTGCTTTGACAACATGGACAGTGCGAAGTTTGAACAGTGCATCGCTGCAGAAGAGGTGCTGATTTTGGGTGCCACGTGTTAAGTGACTGTGTAGTTGAGCTAGATGGCTGATAATATCAGGCAATATGGTTATCAGCCTAACACCCACATTTGTGAATGCGTAGGACCGCTGGGGTGACACCCCCTTGCACCTGGCGGCCATGCACCGTTGCCCCCAGATGGTCAAGCTGCTTGTTGGAGGTGGCGAGGGGTGGTCTGCTGAAGGCGCGCTGCACACTGGCAACAAGATGATGGGCTCCTTGCCCATCCATTGTGCTGCCAGCTCCGGGTGCTGTCACTGTGCAGAGGCTCTGGCAACTGCTGCCGAAAGCACCCTTTCTGCGCAAGACCGGAGGGGCCGTATTCCACATGAAGTCGCAGCAGCGAGAGGCCACAAGGTGCTCAGTTTCTTGCTGGCTTCTTCTGCTATTGTAGTTCATTGAAGAGCCGGTGGTGGCTGGACGAAATGCCTTTGGCTGCAAATCATTGTCACATTTTGTTTTCTTGTTGGTCCTTTGACCCACAGTTTTGAAGGGGCTATGTGTCGACTCTGTTGAGATGTACTGATACTACTTCACATTCTGTCGTCATCTCCACTGTTCTGAAATTCTTTCCGTTCTGTTGTGATGTATGCAAACATAAATTCAGAGAACTTGGATGTTGCCCTGGCACAGGAATTGTCTCTGCTGCTCCAAAAGAGATTCAAGCAGGGTTTGGAGGTACCAGCCTTGCCCGTCCCTCTGCCTACCCTGTTGCTTACCCATCCTGACTTCTTTGAACACCACACCATGCATCTTCCTCTCAGCATCCGAAATTCTCACGCTCCTCCAGAAAATGTTGGACGGCTACATGTGTTACTTCGCAAAGGTAAGCAGGGGGACAAAGTTAACATGGAACAACTGCTTCAATGTTGATTTGAAACATAAACAGGCAATATGACGTACATGTTGGTGGTTGTCACCATGAATGCTGCAATGACTTGGAATCGCTGATACAAGCAATTATTGCATTAGCTGTGGTGAGTGGAAGCAACATCATTTAGCATACCACGATGTAGTATGAAAGGAATGATCATGGGTATGCCTGGAAAGTGGGAGTGGCACCTGCCATTGGCCTGGTTCGCATCAGGATCACCTGCTGGGCCTTGGGTCTTGCATTGTCTGTGTACCCATCTGCAGCAGTACTCTGATGTGATTGAATTGCTAGAACTGACAAAGCATTCCTTGCCATATCAAAGACAAAGTGTATCAGGTGCTTGTCGTATTCTCTGGTTCGTGTCTCGAACTCTACCTCCAACGCCTCCCACATCAAAACCAATAACAAAACCCTATTGCTTCAGTTTGGGCCACTTCAGCCTGTCAGTTGGGTTTGCCTGAAATGCAGCATGAGTTGCTGTAACTTGGAAGCTGCCAGAGACTTGCTACAGAGGCGGTTGTTTTTGCTTCAGAGTTTGGTATGCTGAAAGCACCAGGAAGTTGCACAACAAAGCCCATTGCAAGAATGTTAGTTATTGGTGCATGCCCAGCTGCCATGATGACAGCAGAGAAGAGTTGCCTTGCCTGACGCAAGGTTAACAAGTATTGGAGCAAGGTTCCAGCAGTCATGTCCCAATAAACCAAACCTTTGGTGCCTTTTGCAACAAACGACAGAGCACTGTTCTTGCACCTCAAAGGCGACAGTGGGGATAATGCAAACCGCAAAGTGCCTTCAAGAACGTCCAATATTTCCCCCAAAATATCCCCATACCAAGGCGCAACATGTCACTCGGATCGCATTCTGAAGCCTGGATGGCACCACAGACTCTGGCATCCTGTGGTCATCCGAGTTTGAGGGCCTCCAATGGGATATGGAGCCTCCCCTGGCAGAGATGGCCGACGTCCTGCGTGTCCATGACTGGACATACGTGAACCAGATCAAGCTGTTCTGCCAGTCGCTGCCACAGTCGCCCGTGACAGTGGGCAGGCTGGACAGTGACACTGCGCTGTCCCATGGGTCCTTCCGAGCGGCCCTAAGAGCAGCAGGTGCTGCTTGCAAAGCAGTGGATGCGTTGGTTACCGGCAAGGTATGGAAATGTGTTGGCAGTTATTGCTGTATGCATACAGCTATGAGGGTTGATGATGGCTGGGTCGTTGTATGAATGATCCTGTAATTATTGTGATGTGCTGAGTAATGTAGCAGAATCATGCAAGCTTGGTTCTCTTGAACTCAGTGGCCTCCAGAACCTCCGCAGCGTGTCTTGTACTCCGTGCAGTTTTTTCCGCAGTTGGCAACTATTTGGGGCTCTTCAGCATTCACGCAGTCCAAATGCAGCTGGCAAATGTTCACCTCTGTGTTTTTGAAATGCATTGAGGTTGTGTGCTCTTAATGGTGTTCATGATGTGTGATCTGCCCCACCATAAGAGAAGAAAGAGCGTCGAGAGTCTGCAAATTTTTTTGGAATTCAACATTTGTTTGTGTTTATTCCATTCCAGTCAGTCATCTTAGCAGACTGTGCATATTACTGGTCAACACTGACAAGGTGCATTTGCCTGTTTCTTCTGCTGTAAGTAATATACGCACATGCATGAATACAGCTGTTTTCTGAGTTTTTGGACATTTGGCAGGTGTTGAAATGGGTATTAATGATGCAGAATTGCAGTTGTGCACGAAAGGCTTTGACATTGCCGCCACCGATGCAAGTGTGTTCCTTGTCAGAGTCAGGACTGAGACAGTGTCAGATTGCAGTGAAACACACCTCGCTCCCAACGAAATGGAGCAAGGGTATTGTCCCCTGATGAATCAAATCGCCAGGAGGCGTACTGGACTTCTTTTGTGTTAGGAAGAGTTGTTGGAAGAGTTGCCAATTAATTGTTGCACCTGCTCATGGCCGCCAGGCTCGAAATGCGTTCTGTGCCGTTCGGCCTCCAGGGCACCATGCTGGGCCTCTGGGAAAAGTTACCTGCAAGAACGACCCCACAGGAAGCAGCGGCTTCTGTCTATTGAACACTATCGCCATCGCTGCGGCCTATGCCCTAAACATTCATCGGCACAATGGTGAGCGGCTCCAACTGGAACTATACACCCTTTAATAGACCCTTTAGTAGGCTGGTATGTGCTATAAACTCATAAAGCTCACAGCTCTGCTGCTTGGAGGTGTCATTTTGGTGACAATGGGGTGAAAAGATTGTCTGCATGTTGGTCAGGATATGGGTTCACTACGGTGCAGCATCTTCATGCCTTTGTTGTAGCAAGATGCAGTATGCTAAACGTCGATGGGATTGGCTTCCAGTACTACAGGCTCATTCAACAGAACATGTTTGGAGCCTTCTGTGCCTGTCATTGACTCCAAGTATATACATACATGGTTCGTTGTGGTGCACGAAATTTGCAAAGTCTGTTGAACGAATTGTTTGGCAAGTCAATTTTCCTTGCAGTTCCAGAAACTGGAGCAGGTATGCACATGCCCAAAATATCATTCTCCAGCAAAGAATCGCAAGGCAATGTCCATTGGAGTGCTGTAGCTCTGAGCCTCAGGTGCTAGTATGCCGCACAGAGCACAGGCCACAGGGCTTGAGATGCAGGGCCACCACCCTCCCTTTTCCCTTTTTAAGGCAGCATTATCATTGCCCTGTCTGGCATGGTTAAGATGTACGCGTAGATGTCTGAATTCACCGGGGACAGGATGCCAAACAGCTGAGTAGGGTACGAGGTACTGGCTTGCCACATGTCAATTGTGCACAATCGATATGCAGAGATTACTATTATCGTTAATGTATGGCTGGTACTGTAGGTTGCATTTTTGTGCAACAGCCTTGCAGTGCAGGAGCACAGGATTTGAGTGCAGTATTTTTCCAGCATTTCAGAACGACCATTCGCCCTCACATGGCATGTTACCTCTGTTACAAAAGTCTCGTCCATTATCCAATTGGTCCAAATGAAGGTCAAAACATGTGAGTCAGAAAATTTGGCTGAAACAAGTTCAATGCGCCTTGTTGAAAGCTGTGTGTAGAGCCCTCAAACGGAGCTAACAACGTTGTCATTCTCACGATATGTCAAGAGGAGCTGAAACGGCATTTTCCCTTGTGTCGGGACCTCATCTGGGACAAAGCGTTGTTTTGCCCTACCATAGAGGTGCTTTGAGAGGAGCTACCACTAGGAGAGATGTATGGCTTGATGGTTTGGTATGCAAAGAAAATGCGGATATATTCCAAAGAGAATCCGCAGTGCAAATGTCTTGGATTTGCCACAAAAATTGAGATGTTGACAAGTACTGTGCGAATGTTGAGGCCAGAGGCCAAGAGACGCCTTGATCTGTGCAAGAGTATCAACCTGGTAGATGTACCAAGTTCTGGAAGATCGTGCATGGTGGTAAAAAAACCAACACGACGACCTCGGTTGAGGCCAACATGGCAATTGTTGCAAATCGATAGTTTTGGACACAATTCAGCACAGTGGAACAGATGGCTCACACAGAGTATCAAAATAACGATGTGAAGACTCTTGAAAGGGCGTAGAAATGCTCATTTGTTGTCTGCAACAAGGTTGTTGAAGCATTTCGGGGGAATGGGTCGGAACACACCGGGATAAGGCAAGGAGGCATGTACTGGGAGTTGACACTAGCTAGCATACAGGGGCACTTTTGATACCAGCTATGACTTTCTTGTTGTATGGTCATGACTAATACAAGGGAGATCCATATCAACCCCAAATTGACCAAGGAATCCGAATTTGGTGACAGATTGACTGGTTGAGTTGATTTTGCAAAGCTGTGGCAAGATTGGATAACAGGCCAGACTTTTGTAATGAAGGTAATATGTGAAATCACCTCTGGCTATCCCCAGCTTCTCTTATTGCTTGTTCAATCCTGTTTGGCTTTGCCTCTTTGTTATTTTTCTGCAATTCACTGTTCATGTCGTGAAATCATGCCTTGCATTGTGATTGTGCCAGGAATCAAGAAAGTGGCCATCTTGGACTTTGATGTCCACCATGGTAATGGGACGGAGGCCTTGATTGAAGCAACAGTTCCACACCAGCTCAAGGTACCGCTTAAGACACCCTTCAGTGAAGGCATCCAGCTCTTCCCCCAATGGCGGCCCTGGTTGGGGGAAGCAGATAGTGAGAGCATCTTCTTCGCAAGGTGTGCCACAACCGCTCCCAACAGAGCACAAAATAGCGCATGAAATAGGGCAGGTAATAGCCCCAAGGTTAGTTCAACAGACAGCAGGCATGTCAAAGAAAGCTGCATCTGCCTTGACAAGACTTTGTTCTGTGCTGTGAAACTGATACAGTGTCTCGAAGTGTTGCAAGTGAAATCTGGTTCTGCAGCAAGTTTGCCAGAATGTGAGCACAGCCCGCAATTCCCACAATTAACATGTTGTTCTTGGGGAGTTTACTGGAAATATATGCATGCTGGTAGATTTATATGGTGGACGCGATGGTTGGGATGCCTGCCGAAGCTCTACAGATGCATCAGAGAAGCAGAAGCTGGGCTATGGATCGGCTGTTGACAATCTATGTATCAAGTGCAGCAGTTCGCTGTCATAGCCATCACTGCGATGAAAACTCAATGAAATCTTGAGCAGGGTGCGGAGATGGTACTTCTTGTCCTCACCGTTCTGTTAAATACCCATTATCTTTTTGCAGGCCTGACATGTTCTGTGGGTGTTCAGCACGCAGGCCTATGGCTCAAGGATCCCAGGCATCGAGGGTGCTTGGTTCTACCCAGGCTCGGGGGCGACATGCGACACTCAACAGTTGCGCAATGGACAGGGTCCGACCGACCAGCCACAGGCGAACAGCACACCTGCACAAGGGGTTGATGGGAAGGCGATGGACGAGGCCAAGACTGGTGCGGCCCAGCAGCCAGGAAGCGTAGGGAACAATGCCGATGACCACATGGGACATCCTGGTGGTGTTGCCAATGGCGACGAGGTGGGTTGTCTGTGCCTAATGTTCTGTGGTATGTTGAGCACAGTGCTGGGTATGGTGGAATGGTCTTCTTGGGTTGCTGGGTCGTTGTTGATGGTGGATGTTTCTTTTGTGCTGTTTCTTGTTTTCTTCTCATTCTTTTTTCTTTTGCCTGATTTGCCCAGAAGGGGTGAGTACAGACTTGTGAAGCATCTGTGACTGGAATGTTGGATTGTGAATCTGCCCGGTGCTCTCTTTTACGCTGTGCCTTTTTTAGGCCGGCACCAAGTGCCTTTACTACAATTGGAGTGAATGATTCATTCGCAAAGGGTGTGAATTGAGTGGGAGCAGTCATTACCTGTGAGCCCTTTGCTATTTCTGAGACCTTTAACCCATGCTGGCTAGTGCTGTCATGGGGGGCAATGATCAATGCACACGACCCGCTACTTCAACTCACCAGCTTGCAGGTTTCAGAAGAGACAGAAGAGAAATCATAGCATTATTGGATTCGTTTGCTATGTGGGGTTGGGAGGGTGCCCTTCCTCATTCTTCGCCTCCACCCCTCTGACTCTGCTCCTGTCAACAGTTTTTGGACGATTGATACAACTACCCGTTTCCAACAGCCTGCTGTGTGCCACTCCTGTCACACTCGGAAGCATCTACAGCATCTTACACAGCACTGAAAGAGCCTCAGTTCATAACCAAGTGTTACAGATGGGGCAAACTTGATGTTTCTTTTCTCTGGTGGTGGTTCCAGTCTGGCTCCATGTGTGTGACAACAGGAAGGGCCATTTTCCTGCGGGGTTGAAGAAGATCCCGATGGGGAGTTTTCATACTGCGGTGGCGAGGTGCCCAGGCTGGGTGGACCGCGGATTGTGAATGTTGGGATCCCAGGGCCTGGGGTGCAGGCCATGTTGTGGAAGCGGGCATGGAGGGACAAGGTGGGCAATTAGGGAGCTGTTCTTTTATCTCGCATTCTTGGACTATGAACATGCAGCTCAGGGCCAGTTCATGCCTCACAATTTGGGCAGTATGTTGAGCAGAACAATGTAGCATAATGCCACTTCTAGACTCTAGATTCTAGATTTTGTGAGGCCCCCAGAACCTAGTATCCAAGACTGTGCTCATGATCCAGGTGTGATAATATCAGAGTCTCTGAAACTTGCACGCTTGATCTATCGAGGAGCCTGCTAATGCTGCAGCACACTGCAATGTCTTCTGACAGCAGCAACTGTCCTTTTGCCACTTCCCTTTGTGGGACAAATTGTGGAATCAACTGGATTCTTCCCATGCTGTTTTGTGCATTTCTTAGATTGTAAATATTGGATAGCTACTTGGAAGCTTGCGTGTCTTTGTTTCTCGTGCTTGTTGTGTTTGCATCTTGCTGCACTGGAAGACCCTCCACAGCATTTGTGCAGGTTGAGAACATCAAATGTGTTGATTACAGAGAGGCTGATTCCTTGCATTCACTGCTTCATTCCTGGTTTCGAGATCGTCTATTAGAGTATCTTTTCTGGTTTTGCACTGTGCATCTAGTATTTGCTGTGTCTTTGGGGTGCTGTCCCAAGAACTGGGACCCCATGGGGATTCTACGGAAGGGCAAGACATCCACGACTGGTTGATTGGGGGCCAAATGACTTGCAGTATACAAGATTGATGAAGTGTACAGGTTGTGTGAGATGGCAATGGCCAAAAGTGCACACAGCTACACTATGCTCCAAGCAGCATCAAGCCTCTCTTTTAGCCTGATCGCGTTGGCCAATGAGGAATATTTTTTGTGAAAGACTGACTCGTTGTGGCAGTTTCTGAATCTTGCGAGCGCAAAGCAGTTTTGGTGGAACATGCATTGTGACAGGGCCTTGTTTGTGCTGCTTGCCCTTTCTGCTGAAGGTGGTGGAACCCATTATTGATTTGCTCATGGAGACCTGAGGCATTGATTTTTCGTTTGCTGGTGCCGCCCTGTGTGCACATGTTCTTCTTGTTGGTCGTTTAGTTTTCCTGATTTTTCGCCTTACAGCTGTGATACCTTCTGTGGCTGGACAGATTCTTCCTGCTGTGGTGAATTTCGACCCGGACTTGATCTTTGTCTCTGCTGGATTCGATGCCCACCGTAAAGATGACATCAACGACAACTTCGTTGGGTTGTTGGATAGGCACTATGAGTGGGTGACTGACCAGATCGTCCAAGTTGCCAACAGGTGGGGACGCACAGACACTCTGTTGTGGCGGATGAGCATCCGCTTATTGTTTCCGCGTTTTTTGGCAAGCGAGATGCTCTCATGCTGTTCTCACTGTGCCTTGGGGAAGTTGCACTAATGTAGGAAGCAATGAAACTGCTGGGGTATCTTCTTGGTGCAAAAGAACTTCCCATGCTCTTATAATTTTGCAGATGTCTGCTGGTGCAGCAGGAAAACCATGGAGCGATGGAAAGTATGAATGTTTTGTTCTCACTATTTGCGTCAGTCCCCGTTGGTCTAGGTGCTGTTGTTAGTATTTGTAATGTGTACCACTGCGCTGAGTTTCCACGCTTGGGAGTTAGTCTTGTGAAGAGGTTTGGAGACAACAAGTGGAACACAAGCTGAAGCTGTGGTTGCAACATTATCAACCTATTGTATACGTCAGACTGCATCACCCCTCCCATCTCGGCTCCAGCCAGGCAGCTGCTGCACACACAGTGGACATGGTATACTGAATGAAGCATGTGCATCTCTTACAGCGCTATTGTTTGCACTATTGTTGAAGCAGTGTTAGTATTGCCGACTGTGATGTGCTGTATTGTCCAAAACCACCGTGTATGCTGCCCACATCAAACTGTGATGTGTGTATGCTACAATGGTCAAAGCAGATGCTTCCAATGCTCCCACACCCAAATGACCAAAGAAGGGTTTGTGTTTGAAGAGCACCAGTCACAGGTTGTTGCCAAAGGATATTGAAATGTCATGAGTTTTGAACTGGGCATCTCTTTTGACCGACAAATTGAGGCATGATGCTAGTTTCGGGGCTCATGATTCAAGTGGGCAGGCTGCCAGAAATGAGTATGTGAATTCGCTAAGTGGGCAGGAACAGCAGGCATAGCAAATGCACAGACACTTGTGTGGTTCAGCTTGCCTGTTGTAGGTGTCTTGCAGCGTGAACTGATGCAGAAATAGGAGCTGGCATATTCCAGAGCTGTATTGAAGGCAATTTGGCCACTGTGCATCCTGATTGCAGCCCTTGCCTTGCCTGTAGCACCTGTGTGGCCAAGCGCCTTGTTCCCTGGTCTTAGGTCTGTGAAATGCGACCTTGCTCTTGAAGTGCCGCCCAGCATGACATGGTTTGCTTTGAGGCCTAAACATCGTTCACGTTATGGAGCAAACAATTCACAACATTTCCTTCTGTTTTGCTGCCACTGCAGGTGTTGTGGAGGTCGTGTTGTCAGCGCTCTTGAGGGTGGGTACCGCATTCAGGGTGGCATTGTTTCTGCCTTTGCTCGGAGTGTGGCCGCCCACGTTCGGGCTCTGATGGACACACACACACAAGCTTGGGACCCCTCAGAGGGAAAGGTACAATTTGGAAGGAGCACAACAGACCTTGCTGCTAATGGCCACGTAGCTGTTTCCCTCTGTCTGGGTCATCGAGGTCATGCGTACAGACGATTCATTGCTTTCTTGATTTTTGTTTCCCGTCACCTGCATCCACAGTGCGGGAAAATTGGAACTGTGATGCGTGTCTCCTGCCTTCATTCCCAAGGTAATAGTAGCTACATCGTAGATAGCTGCTGTTCTTGAGGCCTGTAGTGCTGGTGACATGCGCTGTGCTGTCAGAAAATGACGTGCTTCTGTGGCCAGTTCATTTCAACACATTGAGCCGCGTTCTGCTGCGTGGAAGGCTGCTGCAAACTGGCGGCAGCTTACTCATTCTGTCTATCGCTCCAGGATTGTCGCCAGGTTGTTTCGACAGGCACGTGTATGCAGTCGTTGTGAAGAAAATGCAGACAGTTAACAGTGTAAAGCCGCCACTTTGGTTATGAGTCTTGTTCTTATGATGTGCATAGTTCGTTTTCCATTTTTCTTGTCGCTCATTTCGGCTCCTGTGTGCATGGGAGATGGAGTACCGACTGTTAGCTGCCCCTCTCCACAGACTTCGGGCTTGTGTGCCCGCAGGGGCAATGTGAAGTCCGTGTTTTCCGGAGTATGACATTTAAGTCAGGGCGCTATTGGAGCGTGTTGACAGGTGGCCAGCACTTAACACAGCGATGGATGGCTGCTGTGCAGTGGGAACGCACAGTGGAACACGCAAGGCGAGAGAGGCGGAAATGCAGGCAAGAGGGGATGCAGGATCCTGCCAAGGACGGCAGCGCGGAACCACCCGTTGCTAACAATCAAGGTGAAGGTCCTGGAGCCACGGCACAACCAGAGATACCAGAAGGCGCCAGCGATGGGGCGACGCAGACCAGACCTGAGAGGAAGCGAAGGAGAGTTGAAGGTGGGTTGGAGGGTGATGAACAGTGTCTGATGAACAGCACATCTTGCAGTGGTGGGGTTGATTGAGTATATCATTTGCATGTCAGTGAAGGGTGACCCCTGCTGTTCCACCTGAACAGCTGGGAGCTATGGCATGAAGCCCTGGGACGAAAAAACTGATGAGTTGCACGGCAGGCGTGTCAGAGTAGCGTGGCCTGTGAGATTGTCATGCAGATGTTCGCTGTTGCTATCGAATGCAGTGCTAAGGGGGAATATGGTGCAACAGTTCTCTGGATTGGGTGGTGGTCCTCTGCGAGTACCAGGGGCAGCAGGGCAGTTCGAATTAGTGGCTACAATTGTGGACTGTTGCGCTGCACGTGATGTGGCTGGCGCTGCTGTCATACGTGCACTGCATACGAGTCCAGATGGCACCGCAGCGAATAGTGTCAAGTCGAGACTTCACCCGCCTGTCGAGTTGGCTTTAGCCTTGCGCACGCAAGTTCTTCTGGGCGCTGGAGCACTGTGCTGGGGCACCCTGAGCATCTAGAATGTGCTTGCCTTCAGCCTCGCCAGCCAGGTCCTCTCGTTGTGTCAGTGAAGTTGTATCTGTGCAGCAATGCGGGTGCCAAACTGTCAGACCCGCAGCGCTGTCTGTCTGCCCACGCGTTTCTTCACCGCCAGTCAGTCGAGCTTCCATCCTGGGAGTGCTGGCTGCAAAACCTAAAAAACAATACCCTAAGCCCTTAAAAGAACTTAAGAACCTATAAAACACCAAGAACCTACCTAAAACTGTACCTACAGTACTTGAAAAACAGTCCTATGTTCAACTATACTTTGTGGACTCCATGCGGTATTCTGTTGCTTTGTGGATTGTGCTTGTTGCGCGCTCCTGTGACGGATTTCGATTGGCGATTTTGCAGTGGACTACACCGCGCTTCAGGAGCAGATGGAGCGAGAAGCATCGCAGAAATCCTGACGCCTCCCTGCCTCAAAGATGAAGACAGCCGCCTCGACACGAGGACCGTGTTTAGGTGCGTGTCGAAATCGAGCTGCCATGGGCGCGTTGCGCAGATGGCTGCACTGGGTCGCGGATGCATCGCCCGAACTTCGTGATGTGCCCTGCGTGCCAATTTCGATGGACAGGATGCAACGGTAGACGTTTAGTTGCTGGGCGGCTTGCTCCTGCTCCACGCGGTGCTGACTTTCGGCTGTAAGTAGCTACACACTATGGCCCTGGCCATTGGAATGGGTTCTGGGGTTTTGAATCCTGCAGATGTTTGTTGGCAGTTGGGCTCTCAGTCGCCAATTTCGAACTGGTTGCTGGACTTTGGTGTAAGATGCCGTGGGTGTCCTCTGTCCATGCCCGTGATGACCAAAACCAGAGTTTGCGCTCGTCAGCAATGGGACAGCGGATGGCTTGGTTGCCGATTTTGATGACTCCTGTGATGCGCTGGGGAAGGTTTCGATGGTCATACTTTAGACAGTGTGGCATTTTGCTTTCAGTGCATTGGGTATTTCTTTTGCTGTGCATGCAACCATCAGCCACCATGCAGGAGGCCTTACACCAAGGGATGAACCAAAGTGTAGAAACGAAGCAGGAGGGGGATGTTGTCGTTGTGGGGCAATAGTGCTTTTTCTGTGCAAGGCTGTTGACCATGTACCAGTTCACCCGTGTTTTTATGGAGTGACATCATCACACGTAAGCCAGGGCCAACAGTGAGCTCTGGGTGAATGCTTGCCTGATTGTCCCATGGGCAAAACTAGGCCGTTGCACATGCAAGGCAGTTGGGCGCTGTTTCCAACTTCGCAGTGCGCTCACATGCCTCCAATTGCCCGTCTGCATCGTGTATCAACGGTAAGCCAGACAAAGAAAGTCCCAACTATGAGAGACCCGGATTGCCCTTCATGAGACACAACAGCCCCTTCTGTGTTCCCCAGCTTCAGCGTGATACTTGAGAACACAGGTGCCACCTCATCCTGGCAGAAGAGAGCCGGATCCTTCGCCACACAAAGAAAGCAAGGCAATACGACGGTGTAGGTTGCGTTTTTTTGTTTGTTTTGAAAACAATGTTTTCCCTCGAATTTCAAATGTATTACACTGTGTGTAGCTTGCGTTTGCAGCTTCGACGGATCGCGGGCGCCGCCCACTGGGCGGAGAACTGGCCATTCGGCCGCAGTATGACGTGATGATGATAGCCTCTCGCCAACCAGTGTTACTCCGGCGCATCTGTGCACCATGAAATGCTGAACAACGTGTGGACTTGTTCAGCATTGCATGGAGAAGAGAGCCGCTGGCACAACAACTTCAATGGTTCGCTCATTCGCCAACTCTGCGCATCAGAAGTCGCTGAAATTTCGACTTCTGAAGTCAATGAATTCCCTTGCGTTACAGTCCAACACATACTTTTGCCTACAGCCCCGCACGACTTGCCACACCATGTCCGCATCCGGCACTGGCACTCACACGACCTGGTAATCTCCCGTCGTCAGCGCCTTCTTGCAACCGTATTTGATGGCCGCCCCCGTGCTCGAGTCCTCCACGGATTCTATGCTGATGTCGCACAGCGTGGAAGCCGCTGTGAAGGTGACGTCCACGGGGAAGATGTCATCAGCATCTGGCGACTGCACGACGAATTCCAGGGCCCCGTTGCGGTTGGAGGCGTCGATGAGGTCGATGTTCCACATGAGCACGTTCTTGCGCGACACCCATTGCCAGTCTCCGTCGCACTGCGTGAGGGAAGGAGACTGTTAGTTCTTGGTCGATAACTGTACGTCTCCGCACTCAGTGGCACAAGTTTGCAGTCAGCCACACTGATCTCAGCTCATTCACAATTCTGGGCTTGCAAGGTTGATTCTGCAATGCGTTATAAGGTTATAACGCACAGTGAACACTGTGGGAAGGGCAAGGATGACACTGTGAATTCCGGCCTGCACTGCAATCAACCGCACAGTATGGAACAGATCCACATGGCTCGCACAGCTACTAAGAAACACTACAAAAGGGAGCAACAAGGAAGGGGGCTATGCTGTTGCACAGCCTGCACTGCGCTGCTCATCTATAGCTGACAGGTGCAAGGACATCATTTTGGCAAATGCAATGTCAAGGGGCAATTCCATGCGAGCCTTAACATGCTCATTTGAAGGCACCCATGCTGACAGCTAACAAGCAGACACAAGGCAGTAATCTGCCACATTTTGATGCAAGCAATCAATGCCCGTTTGAGTGTGGAATCAGCCCCATGGGCTCAACGCACCTGGTTGACCGCGGGCTGCCTGTCACTGGGCAGGGGTATGGCGATGGCCACGCCCTGCAGGTCGAACCCCTCTGTGGCCTCATAGTCCATGTTCACATAAGTCTCGTTGCCCGAAGCGCTGGGCCAGCAGTTGATAATCAGCGGCAGCCTGTCGTCATCCCTGCTGGACCAGCGCCATTTGAGGACCCCCAGGGCAGTGCCTACAGGGAAGGGGCGCTCTGGGTCCTTGAGGGCCAGGCGGCCCTCGGAGGCGTGTAGGTTCTTGTCGATGTTGGGGTGGGTCTTGAATTGGAAGCCGCGGTTGGCCCCTGTGGCCAGACCCACCACCAGTTTGGAGGCCTCTTCCGCGTTCACCTGCACAAAGAATTGCAAGATAGAATGTTGTCAGAGTGAGGTCGCAGACATGGTTGTTTGTCACGATTCGACTCGGTTGAATAAGCCCAAACATGGTGCAATTGCTAGACAGATACGCCTGCTGAAAATGACCGAATTCTCAACTTGATATGACACAAAATCATACCGTAATTATTGCAGCGTGGTTGCTTCACTGGACAGCCCAGAATTGAAGCTATATTCTTCTTCATCAATGTCGCACCTAAAAGTGCTTTGCATGCCAGTGCTAGGCAATTCTTTGTTCTAAAGCTGGGCCGTACTGTTCATTTTCTCCTTGTTTGTCAGTAGAAAGAGGTCCAAGACATGCCACTGGTGGAAGATGCCAATGCGGCCTCCCTTGTTCCTTGCATCGACGACATGACCTTCCAAGCACCTTCCGACGCCATCCCACAACAAAGCACAGCAGGCCCACTTCCTGAAGCTGGCCCGGCCAGTCCTGCCCTTCTCAAATCTGCCCTCCCCTTCCCACCCAAAGCTGACCAACATCGTCCCAAAGGCACCCCAAGGACAGACATCTGTCGTGTTTGAACAACACTATCAATGGGGCCGCAAGCCCTCCCACCCACCAGAGCAATACAAAAATCATAAACCAAACAAACGGAAGAAAAAGAGACAACACGAGAAAACTTGGCGCCAAACCCCGTCCCCGAACCAGTTCCCGCCCAAAGCGTCACCACCTGAAGCGTCACGACGCCCTGCACCTCCAGCATCTCGATCCCGCCGTCCCGGTTGAGCGTCGCGCTGATCTTCTCCTCGATCGAGATCGACACCGGCTCACCTGGCGGCGCGGCGGCCGCCGCGGCCGCCGCCCCCGCCCGCCCCGCGGCCGGCTCCTGCACCACCTCCCCCTCCGCCCTCAGCGCCTCGATGAACTCGTTTCCGCGCCGCCCCTTGCCCAGCTGCATCCCCCTCCGCCCGCCCTTCGATGTCCGGTCGTCCCGGTCGCGGGATCCCAGGTCCAGGCCGGTCGTGGGCCGCCGGTAGCTGGGCGCGTAGTCGCTCTCCCCCGTGCCCAAGGATGACGAGATCGCGGACTCCACGGTGCTCTGCAGGTGGGAGACGAACTGCCCCGTGCCGCCGCCCCCGCCGCCCGCCCGGTCCAGCTTCGCCTTCTCCGCCCTCTCCCTGTCCAGCTTGCTGGCGTGCTCGCGCATCTTCTCTCGCGTTTCCTTGATCTTGCTCTCGATGATCATCTTGTGGATCTTCTCCTCCGTGGACTCCATCTCGATGTTTTGCTTCACCTGCTCGCATGCCGCGCGGGGAGCTCACCGTCAGAGGAGCGCCTGTCGTTTGATTGCGCCTCCGCGGGCCACAAGGGCGTCCTGGCAACTTGCAGGCGACTGCGGGCACACACACAGGCCCACTGCAGAGGGCTGGTGTGGATTCTGCTGTCGTGCATGCAGGACAGAGACAGGAGACTGTCCGGTGATGGTACGCCATCTACTCTGACTACAGGGCTCAAAAAGTATTCGGCCATTCAAAGCTTGTGTCAGCTTGGGTATTCTCCGTTCTGGCATCGTGAGTGTGACAACAATACAGTGCATCGCAGCTGAGCCAGATAATCGACAGACTCCTTGGGGACCTTGCCTCGTCACCACTGACTCTGCTCCTTTTACTTTGGGACATGCCTCAAGGTCAGGACCCACAGCAGCAGGTTGGAGTACACTGTTATGGAACAGTAGCGCATTTCACTGCCATTTCGGTGCCTCAGAAGCGCTTTTGAACATCGAATAATGCTTTCAAATCACCACTCATAAATCTCCAGGACAGCTTCCAGTCTGTCTGCAGCATTCCTCCCATGTTGCATGCACGGATAGGTGGACAACACCACCTCCACACAATCTCCATTCGCACACACTGGGTGCCACAGGAATCGCTCTACAGAGCAACAATGTGTGCTAGTATTGATGTTGCCATTCGTGTCGTCAGCTTCATGGTTATGCTTTTTCCACAGCTGCTTGCACAACATTCCCTAAGCCCATCTCCACCCATGAATATCCACTTCATGAATGCTGCAAACAACTGTCCGTAATGACGGTTTCTGAAAGCACAGTAGTAAATACATACAGGCACCTGCACAGTGAAGGTGCCTATCGACATGTTGAACATCAACATACCGTGCATATTTGCATTCAACCCCTTGTTCTTCACCTTGGATTGTGGAATGTACAGACCATTCCACACAGAGATTGCTTCAATTTGGCACTCGTGTTGAAGTCCAGCAACTCGATTCGAAAATCTGCACCCACCTGCTGCACCCGCACATTCTCCTTCAAGCCCATTGAGATGACCTCATCAAAAGCGAATATGAGTTCAAACGCAGACCTCCCCACACCCTCCTCGTCCATTGGAGATGCGTACTCAGGAACAATCTTGGACAGCAGTCGAAGGGTGTCCAAATCATCCAGGATGTTGCTTTGTCGGTTGGTGAGCAACAGGAGGTATAGGCCCTGCACATGCACACGATTCTTCAAGTTCTGTGCCAACTTGTTTTGTTTCTTTTCAGTTGTTAAGCATTCAAAATTGATGCAACCCGGTGAAGTGCAGGGCTGCAAACAGTTTGGGGAAATGTTCTAGATGCTTCAGTGCCTGTCAACGCCTTTAAATGAGACTATTTCTGCACAAACAGTGGAATTGTTTCTGCCAGGTTCAGGTACAAATCAGCAATCCGTACTGTGTGACTGCACACCATATCAATCAGTCACAGAAAACAACATCGTTTGAAGGTTGCCTGAAACTTGGCTGCACATTCTAGGGAAGACATGATGCGGTGCTCAGCACTCTAAAAAGCTCAAGCAGCTCTCAGGCACAGTGACTCTTCCTTCTAGGGAATGTGCTACCTGCCCTCTACAATATGAGGGGTGTGGAAAGCATGATGGTGGTATTCCTGGCGTGTGAGCATCTTGCGCATGAACACACCCATCCAACACTGGCGATCTTCAGCTTCTGGATTGCAGCTCATTTGATCAATCAGGAAGCAATGTTGCTTGCCCTGGGTGACAATGAGACGACACAGTGCTACAAGCGATTTCCACTGCGCTCTGAGACTTTTGTATCATGTTGCACAATACCGGACTCAAAAGCAGACTCTAAAGAAACACACTCACAAGAACGTCGTTCACCAGCGGAGTGCCCATTGTGTGACTTCATTTCTCTGTCAGAAAGGCAAACAAGCGGACGGATGGCGACACCCGCACAGTGGCGCCAACAGAGGGGCTATGCTCACGAAGCAGCCACGCGATCGGCTCACATTCGCCACCCAAAACCACATTACCGGAGGATCAAAATCACCCAGCACGCTGTCCCCCTTCTCCCAGCAAGCCACACTGCCTAACCACGGCAACACCCCCGTCGTCCGGACCTCCACCTCCAGGCCAGCCCCAGCAGCACCCCCATTCTACCGACGGCCCCGGCCAGCCCTTCGTCAGGCGCGGTAAGCAATCCCCAGCGGCACGTGTGCGCCTGCGGATCTCACCTCCATCGGCTGGAACACGTATCGAATGTTGTCCGTCTCCACGTACGTGTGCTGCTTGCCGGTGCCCACGAGCTTGGGGAACGCTGACAGCAGGCCCTCCACGCGGATGCGGCTCATCTCCACGAACTGGCGGGACACCAGCGCTGCGAGCGGGGCAGGAGCAAGGGCGCGAGTCAGCAGAGGGCCACCCCCGCCACGGGCCGCATCAAAACAAGGGCGCACAGGCCCGCGTCCAACGATTGGGAAATATCCCACCGGTCTACACCCTCTCGGTCGAATCCCCAACCCTGTTCCCCCGTCTGGCGTTCGTCGGAATGCGGGGACCGATTGCCGGGGAACTGGGCGGCGAGGCATCGCGGGACGCGACCGGGAGCGCTCACGTTTGCCGCTCTTGGTGATGATCGCCGCCGCGAACACCACCATGGCTGCAGGTGCGCAGGCGCCGGGCTGCGCGGCTGGTCGCCCGCGGGACAGCTGTTGCGGGCCTGGGGCAGTGGCGAAAGGTATGTTGGCCCGACATTGTTGGGCACTCTTGTGCACGCGGAATGCCGTTTGGGCTCAGTTCTTGGAGACCATTTTCTATTCTTCCGATTTTTGGTACTGTGTAGCAATAGTAAATGGAAGGCTCGCTTCTTTGTTCTGCATTACACCGAGCGCTGGCGCCTTCTTCAAGGCACCGACATGCCGTCCAACAGAAGGTAGGGGTCTCGTGCCACCACACAAAGATGCGCGGATGCAAAGCCTAAGTTGCATAGGTTTGGTGACCAACACCGCGACATGCGACGTCAGGGCCTCACGACCACAGGTTAGACATTTGCCATATTCTTGCACTTGTCACCATTGCAGGTTCATGCTTGGCTATGGTGTGAATTGGGATCGTGATCAAAAGTCATCACACCAAGAGATGGGTGGCTATTCTCCTATTCCAGAGTTGCGCATAATCGCCGACGGCCGCCACCATCAGCAATGTTGGTTGAGGCAACTTGGGTTCGCATGAAGCACAACGGATGGTGGCTTGTTCACCTCCCATTCTGTTACATGGCGTTTGTTGATTGATTGATTGAAATACAACTGGCAGAGAATGGCAAAGTCGACATGGGCCTGGCAAAGTGGGCAGCCTTTATCAATCACTTTTCCTGAAGCCCAAGATCTGACCCAAGACCACTGTCTGCCATGCCAGCCCATCCTCAGCAATGCACCCCTGTGTGCCAGCCTCAAACATAAGACCTGTAACAAACTGCTCACACTGTCCACAGAACTCCATCACTTTCGCTCTTTGGAACCCAACAGCAAGCTCACTCACAAAATGCCATTCCCTAATGGACATTCTATTCCACGCTTCCTGCCCTGCAGCAACATGGCCATCAGCTATTCATTTTCAGCCTTCAACAGGCGAACACACGTCTGATGTAGAGGTCTCAATTTCAGACACTGTCCACCACATTTCAGACACCTAAAGTGTAGGACACAACACCTACGAGAAACACTGTTTTGCGACAGTCCAAAGAAAGCCAACTAGCCTTCAACCAATCCCCTCAATCCTCCCTCTTTGTCAGGCCATCCTTCCCAGCTGCTTCCCCGCTGTCTGGCACACACTCCTCCTTCAGAGGCTGCCCACATTCACAATTCACATTCACATTCCCATTCTCGGTCACACGCAAATCCACATTCACATTGCTGGCCTCCTTGGACGACTCGTCTTCACAGACCTCTTCCTCACAGGTGGCGGCCCCCATTGCGCCCGCCTTATCCAACACAACTACATTGTCATCCTTGGGGTGTGCACCTGCACCGCTGTTACCTTTGCCAGTCGATGCACCCGTGTGCGATTTGCTAGCTTGCATGGGGTGACTGGTGTCACCATCCCTATCAACGAACGCTTCGTTGGCCGAATCCTGAATGTTTTCCTGCATCTTGTCGCCTTTGGCAACATCCACTTCGTCTGGCATTGCCTCGTTGGCTGAATCCTGAACGCACACCCCCTGCATGGGGTCATCTTCCTCCTTGGTAGAACTATGAATCCCATCTCCTGAGGGACCATCCTTGCCACCATCCTTCTCAGCTGGCAACTCTTCTTTGACTGCATCCTGAGCACGAGCATTCATGCCGCTGTCAGTGTTTTCTGCTACAGTCGACTTCTTGTCACCATCTGTTTCCATTTCAGTACCCAGAGCGCCTTCCAATTCCCTTGCGCCCTGGCTGGAAGGCTCTTCGGATGTCCCACCACCGATGTCAGCTGCCACTGCGCCCTGGCCCGTATCACTCGTCTCACCCATTTCCCCGGCCTCCTCTTCATTTGCACTTGGCTCTTCGCCTGTTGTGCCCTGTTTGTCAGGCTGCACTGGGCGCTCAAAGGTGGTTGTGGCAAAATCCAGGAAAGCGTCCCACACACTGCGCTCAAACAGGACAAAGTGAACTTCCTCCAGGGAGCCTGCTTTGTCCCTCGCAGCGGTCAGCGACACCTGAAAAGAGGAGTATGGGTGGTAAGTCAACAATCGGCACAACTGTTGATTCCATGGAATCATGTCCGGTTTTGTCTGTGAAATGGATATGGCATTAACGGAATAGCTGTGAGGCTGCAAGCAGGGGTTCGTTGCCTTGGAAGGTGCAAGGGTAGTGCAGCTCTCTGGACTAGCCAATAAAGCAATGGCAAACAAATCCCTAGTGCCTTTCAGGCGACCACGAGTGCAGAGATCCCAACAGAGCTTGTTCAATACCCCAAGGATGTTTGTCTGCACACCAGCCAACTGCACATGCAGGGGCAGTGCTGTGTCCTATTTGGCACATGCCCCATCGCCCATGCCCAAACGGGCAGGGATGCTTCAAATTCAAGCATGAGAGCATTTCTGATGGTCCACCTGATCGTTCAAAAAGCCAACGTGTCCTTAAGAAGCGAAGTTCTTGGGATTCTTTTGCTGTGGAAAGAGGCTTGTGCACTGCAATCACCATTGTACTCTTGACTGCATACCAGCACAACAATCATGTGTCCATCCAGCTGCAAGCACACCTTGGCTGCCTCGTCAAGAGGGTACCCAAAGACACCACAGCTGATGGCAGGAAATGCTATCGTCTTCAATGAGTGCGAGTTTGCCAACTCCAGAGAAGACCTGCGTGGACAGCAGCAGCCCCTTTTAGAGGTTGAAGCAGCGGAATATTGGGGAGTGACAGCAGCCATCACACGCGTATCTGAACAAACTGGCGGCAGTCAGGTGAATTGTGGGGCAACCGATCAGAGCCTAACCTCTACACGAGGGTGGCACTGGATGCCTGATAGCTTCTGGACTTAGACGACTGTTATAGGTAGTATACCTGCAGTCCATTGCGACCTGGTCTCACTCACCTGCAGGGATGCGCAATGGCCACGGAAGAAGCAATTCACTGTGAGTCGTTGCCAATCCAGAAATGTGATTCACAGAAGGGCACAGCAGAAATATCCAAGTGTGATGAGACCCTGGCGCCTTCCACTCAAACATATCGGAAACTCAAGCACACTGTGCAGTAACGTATCCCCGGTTTGGCAAGGAACAAGAAACAACACAAGCCGGCATGGCGTTGTCTGGCACAGCACTAGCAAAGGGATGGTGTGTTTGCTACAAAGGTATGTCCAGCCAGGCTCACAATTCTTGCTAAGGAGGTGTCTATTGTCTGACATTCTCTTTTGTCTGCTGGTAGACACAATCTTGAAG